TTCAAATAATAGATACTAAAACTATCAGCTCCTGAACCATGTACCATCTCACAAGAGGCATAACAACTTCCCTATTCCTCAGATTCCATATGTAAAATGAGAACTCTTCTAAAATAATCTTCAAATTCTAACTTTCTGTGAATCAGTTAACAATCATAGAAAAATTCTTCATATGAAAATAGTATTCCTCTTATACACTAGAAACGTCATTGGTTCATATACCCTTGGTGTTTTATAAAGAAACCAAGGCAGGCTGCATTTAGTGATATTATAGTAATATAATAGTATATAATAGTAATATACCTGGGTGGCTCAGTCGGTTAAGCATCTGACTTCCACTCTGGTCATGAGCTCGCAGTTTGTGATTTCGAGCCCCGCATCAAGCTCTAGTGCGGACAGCTCAGAGCCTGGAGCCTGCTTCAGATTCTGTGTCTCCCTTACTCTGCCCCTCCCCCATTCATGCTCTGTGTCTCTCTCTCTCAGAAAATGTAAATAAACATTAAATTTTTTTTTTAAATTAAAAAATAAGGACACTGAGGCTCTACAGTCACATAACAGATCACGATAAGCACATTTCCAGGTGCAAGGCATTTACAATGTGCTTCCTAGGCTGGTAGGCACAAATCGAAAGGTCTATGAGGATATTGGAAAACCATTTATGTGGGTTCCTGCTTCATTTGCTATGGAAGCTTGAGGAGATAACTTTTACAATTTGGAATGGACACTCATCGTGCAGTTATGCTTCCAGCAATATACATCCAGGTTGGGGGGAAAACAGTTCAAACTGGTAAATAATTGCAGTATCATTGCATCAGTTTAGTTTAAAGAGCTGACAAGCCCTCTCTAAACTCCAAGCACAATTAGTCATTAGGGTCTAGTTTTTCAGCACTGTTAAGCAATTTGTAACCCATTCCTTTTAATAGGGTTAGGCATTACTTAACCGACACAGATGCCTTGAAAACTGAAACCTCGAGTTATAAAGCAGCCACCTTGTTCATTACCTTCAGTGATAGGCAAATCATCTACAAAAACAGCATTTAATGGGCAACCAATGAATAATCAATGGCTCACTTTTCATCTGAGTGTGAAAATGAGAATAATCTAATACAAAGTCCCTCTGGTAAGATGCTGAAATCTCGAGTTCTGCTGCTCTTCAGGGCTGATTTATAAGGTCTTGGAAAGCTGATGTAAACAGATGATCAATGGGACCCATCCTTGCTCATAACAACCCCCAACTGGCCCACTCCCTCTTTTCCAAGTCCATCCCTTCAGGCTATTAGCTCTGTCCGGCTAATTCTTCCCACTACTCCTGCCTGCTGCTTTTACTCCGGCCATCCGTTCAGTCCAGCCGACTCAGAAGTAATTTTATACGCAGCAGAGAGCGGGTAGAATTGATTTTTCACTCAGTGCTCAGTTCCCATCTGAATAATTATCAATTTTACTGCCTCATAAAGGGCAGAGTCAAAATTTCAAATCAATTCAAAAGAGCTTTTGAGACGACAGAAATTGTGCATAAGAATAGAGGTCAAAGTTGTCAGTGACCTAAGGAGGTGATGTCAGATATTACTATACCCAATAGTTGACATCAGAGGCACTCAAGATGATATAACCTAGTGCTAATGCAAATCATATTTATGCTGACTACCAGAGACCAGTCATTAATATTTAAAATGCTATCTGAAAGCCTGCATTCCAAATAAATAGAATGTATTCTGCTGTTAATAAAGATATATCACTACTTAGTCATATGCTATAAAATAAAGGATTACCAAGTATTATTAACACACAGAAATTACTTAAACCAACAAATGCATGGTAATTCTGAGTAAAGACAAACTTGATGGTGTCCTGTACAACCACATCACTTGCTCTGCACAGTCTGATGGTATTTGTCTGGAATCACAGCCTATTGATTTTGGTAAAATTTTCTGCCAACTTAAAAGTTTCTGCCAAAGTTTATGAGACAATATTGTGATCAGGCTCAGTGCTGGCAGGAGGGATTTGGTGGTGGACTTGTCATTTGCCATGGTGGGGTGGGGGGCTGGGTCTGATTCCTGGCCAGTTCATGGGTATTTATTTTCTCCACTGGCGGCATGCTCTCAGTCTGTGGTTCTCAACCTTCTCCTTGCAAAAACTGGAGGGCCAGGACACCCTCAACGGTACCACAGGTTACTGCAGCGGGGAAGGTGGGGAAGGGAGAAGGAGAGGTACATTGTTGATAGAAAGTATATTTTGAGGGGCACCTCGTGTGTATATATGTGTGTGTGTGTGTGTGTGTGTGTGTGTGTGTGTGTGTGTGTGTGT